CTCTCCCTACATTCTTTGGCAGTTATCCTACGGTTCAAGCAAGGCTCCTGCCTGCCCGTTTCCTCAATCATGGCGTGGCAGAGGCCTAATTGCATCGTTCAGGCGGTGCAGATGGTCCGAACAGCTCAGTTGCAGTCCATCCTGCGAACCTCCACAGTCACTTCGGGGAGCTTATTACAACAGCGAAAGGGTACGCGAAGTTATGCAACTGAGGCCCAAACCACTGGTGGAAATGCTCTCCAGGTACGAGCAGCTCCCGAGATCGATTTCTCCCAACTCGCTACCCGTCCTGCTCGGGTCATTCCCGCATCACCGGCCTACTTCTCCGGCAGTCCCAAGTTCATCGATCATTTATTGAATCTGGAACGTATCTGCGCCAAATACGCATCGCTACCTACGGTGTCCCCGAGCGAAGCGCCTCGAATGGCATGGTTCAAACTTGCACAGTTCCGCGACTTTGTCGGCGAGCCCGTACCGACGAAGAAATACAAGAGCTTGGTCAAGATTCTGCAGCGACTCAATCGCATTGAGCCTGCTCTTCTCCCGGGGGAAGTTCGCGACACCTTGAGGACCTTCCTTCGGCCGGGTAACCCGTACGGAAATAAGCCGGCGCCGGCGACAGTGGACGAGATGGGCCGAGCTCGCGGCAAGGGAAAGCGCAAGACCTCTTCGGCGGTGGTCCACCTAGTCGAAGGAGAGGGTGAGGTCATGGTAAACGGCAAGACGCTGACGGAAGCTTTTCCCCGTCTGCACGACCGCGAGAGCGCAACTTGGCCGCTGAGATGCACGTCGAGACTAGACAAATATAATGTGTGGGCTACTGTTCGAGGGGGTGGAGTCACTGGCCAGGCAGAGGCTATCACATTAGCCCTTGCACGGGCACTACTAGTCCATGAGCCGGCGCTGAAGCCGATTCTGCGCAAAGGTACGTTACAGATGAGGCCGTCTGGGTGGGTAGTAAAGAACATTGCTGACAATCCTTCTAGCTGGTGTCATTACCGTCGATGCTCGTCGCGTCGAGAGAAAGAAACCCGGTCACGTCAAGGCTCGCAAGATGCCAACCTGGGTCAAGAGATGAAGGCATGTTTATTCTCTCTTGGTCCTGGCGTGCTGTCTGTTGTTTACTTCGTTTACTGTTCTTATTTTCCCGACCTGTATCATTATCTCACTTGCCATCTTGATTCTTGAATGAATATGCTTTCGAATTTTCCGCATCACCGCGTATGCCATGGCGGTTTGCTTCAAGACAAGACACTTGCATGGGCGGTCTCGGCGACAAGCAATGTACCTAGTTTGACTCTTATCGGGCGTTACCCTCAGATGACAATGAAATCGATTGATTAGAATTGTGGATAAGCGCTGGACGAACATTGGGAGTGCCGGCCGCAGGAACTACGACTCCTGACCACTGTCGAATCAGTGCACAAGAACCAAGACGATTCTGACTTCCCGAGTCTCGGTCCAAACTCCAGACTGTAGCCCGAATGCAGAAGAACCAAACAACTCAATTGAAAGATCCACACTTGTAAAAGGGACAGAATGAGGCGCCGGGTTTTCGTACGAGAGGGGGGAGGATTGCGCAGACATTGCACGACTACGGGCCCAGCCCAGTGCTGACAGAGATGAGAAACAACGTTACACAATACACACACTGCCGTTAGCTCTCCTCGAGTCCGAGTCCCGAGACTCGAGTTTCAGGTCGATGAAGGGATCATGGGTCGCGCACTCAAACTCAGACTGTCGCAGCTACTTATTGCTATTGGCAACGTGGCGCTGAGATCATCGATCTGCGAACTGACGAGAGTGAGGGAGCCTGGATACTGGAAGGGCTGAGTGACAGTTCGCAGGAAGAGGGTTGCACATTGCTGAGTCTGAGTTTGTTCATGGTTGTCATCTCCTGGGTCGGTTTGCAATGTTCCTGCCTGCCTATGACTTTGTTTATGGATGCAGTAATCATAGTGGCAGGCAGAAGCGGTTTTTACGATGCCCTTTGATGATGTCAGTATATGTTGTTACCTCAGTATGCCATGTGTATGGTCTTCACCAATCATATGCTCTGCCTTGATATTTTGATTGAACTTGACACTCAACACTCGTTACGCATTGCACGATGATCTCCCATGAATAGAGATTGAGTAGAGTGATCCTGCACTAGTGACAGCCCATCACATATCCCAGCGTTCACATTGATGGTTGACTAGCGTGCAGCTGGCAGCCTGGCACGCCTCACTTGGAATGGCAATCTGCAAAGCTGGAAGACTATGACGAGAAGAACAACAACAGGATGGTAACATAAGGAAACCACTCAGTCTACTATCAATTATTGAGTCCCAGGCGAAGTATTTCAAATCAACAAATACCGATCACGGGTTCTATTGGATCACGCCGCAGCCGTCAGTCCCCGAATCTGACGCCAGGGCCCGTCCCCGCGCACACTAGCTTCTATAGCTTGAACTGTGACTTAAAACCATTCATACCAATTCCCCACTGGGGATATAGCACAGTCTATCAAGATCCAAGTGACATCTCTTGCAGATCTCCATGCTCTATTGGGTTCCTTTCTGGTTTCTAAACTCGACAAGCGACCAATTGGTCGGTCCGTCCTGCATGCATGGCTTTCCCAGGATTCCGGTCGCCAGCAGGTCAGTACTGTCGATGATCTTTAGCCAGGTACTCAGTACTCGTCGGTCACAGCATCCTTTCTGACTTTTCCCTACTTTTGCACGAGTTGGCTCTTGTTCAACGACGAGTAGAGCTCGGCGCTGATTCTCCGGGAGACAAGGGGCATGTTAATAATGCCGATACAACTCAGTGCGCTCTGCCACTTGTATTTACGAAAACACAGCATAATTTCTGTTCTAGAACAGGCTAGTAGAGTTTGTTCGTCAGTTCGGCGGTGACTATCTAGACTGACTTGGAGATCACTTGGATACAGGCGGGTACGTACTTTGTGCTTTTCTCCTCTGGGGGCTTTCTCCTTCCCTGAGGATCGGAGTACAGTGGCAAGCATACATACAATTCATGCTAAGTCTGAAGAGGATATTCTTCTTCGGTCTATTCTTCACCGAATTTTGTCTTTCTCTTCTCGACTTGTTTCGGGTTTTGTTTTTCGAGATTCCACCAGATGAAGCTAATCATTGAGAAAGTTTAACCTCTGAGCAGCCACAAGGGGGGAACCAGTGTCTCGGGCTCCTGGGGCCGAGTGGGATTTGTCAAAATCGAGCCATCAATAAATATGATCAACAGATGACGAAGATCCCCGAAGTGGATTCGATGGCAGATCAGCCAAGCACTAAGCATGGACAGCGTCATATAACTAGTACTAGCCCTGACTTACTCATAGTCGAGTCTCAATACTCAAATACTGTAGACTAGACTAGGCCAAAGGAATACAGGGCAGGATGCAGCAATAATATGTCGAGTACTCTCGGGTGACTCGAATCTAAGACAAAGCTAGTGGTACCTTACTTTAGGAAACTACCTACTTACCTAGTGGCCCTGTTCTCTAACCTTATCGGTCATTCCCCTCTGTCGACTTGGATCTGTCGATTTTCTGGCCTGTTTCTTTCGGTCTCTCTGCATCATCGTGCGCCCCAGCACTATGGAAGGACCGATTAGCTCCGCGCCTTCGCATGGGGTTAATAAAAGCAGCTCGAAATGACTAATTGTCATCTTTCTTCATTTACTCTTTTCGTATGCTTTACATCCAGGTGATCAAACTATGTAAGCAGAAATATCTATATTTTCCCAGTATATACTCGCTAGATCAGATCAGTTAGAGCTCTCGGGTCTATGCTGCCCAATGATGACCCATAAAAATCCCGACAACAGGACTACACCACGAATCACAGGGGAAAGGGCAGCAATTAGTACAGTATGATATAGGTAGTATTGATAGAAACAGCGCAAGAAGAGAATTTCTGCCCCCAATGGCTCGGAACAAACGAAAAAAAAGAAATAAGTAGCATCCGCCGTCACGTTCGGGTTGACCGAGTCAAGTGGACACAAAAAGCAAATGGATAGAAGACATGTATGGACCACTTCGTGTACGGTTGATAGAACAATAGTAATAATGATGATGATTATTCCAAGCAGAAGAACTTGCTGCTGTCTTCTAACTTGGAAGTAGATCACTTGCTTTGTGTTTTTTTTCTTTTTTTTGTTTGTCTCTTTAACCCCCCATTCCTTTATTCTTTTTTTTTTTGTTTTTTTTTTTACTTTTCCCCTCGTTCTCGTCATATGTGTGTGTATTTCCTTTTTTTTCCCTTTTTCTTTTATTTTCCTTTTTTATTTTATTTAATTTAATTTTACTCATTTTTTTGTTGCTTGCTTGCTTGCTTGCCTGCCTGGATGTAAGCGCATCAATAGAGACCACCAAGAGACCACCAATACTTCAGCCTTCCCCTTCTATTGCACTGCTTCTAAATGATACAGCCCCTAGATGCTGATCCTGTCTTCTCCTGAGAGTTTAAATATATACCCTAGAGACCGCTTATTTCTTGATATTCTAGTCACTGTCAGTCGAAGTATATCTTGCAACCCATCTTGCGCTCTTGTTCCCCCACTCTCCACAGAGTCTCTGGTGTCCCTCATCTGTCAGAGCAGGTTGCTTGGGCTGCAATTACAGGACTACAGTCATTGGGTCTTACCTTTTTCTGATTCATAGAAATTTTTATTATTAGCCCTGATTCTCTTCCGCGCTTTGTCATTCTGCCCGCACTGTTGTGCGTTTCGTTCTCTATCCCAGGAGGTTACCGTTCTCTAAGAATCACGACTTGCGAGGGGTTCACTGTAAATCAGAGAGGTATGTCGTTGCTAATCATGCGTACATATTTTGCATTTCAATTTGGCTATGTCAAACATCTTCATTTAATGCTGATAGATACCAGGCTGCGCATGCTTGCGCAACACGGTACATTGAACCGCACAGAGACTCGCCACGAGACTCGGCACATCTGACAGCAAGAGTGTCGTTCCGATCTGCTTGTACCAGTCTATGAATGAGTGGAAGGGGAGTAGGAACTCACGTTGTAAAGGCTTTCACACAAACGACGTCGTTAACGACCAAACTACACAATCCCGGCAAACTGGAACCATACGCGAGTCCTCCGCTCTCCCCCGAAGCGCATTGGTCTCTTGACCTCGATCCAGGGCGCAGGGTCTCGTGGGACCGACTGCGTGGTATGGATGGCGATAGCCGACGCATGAAGCAGCATGATCCCTCCAGTTTCACAACCAGCTCGGGGCAGACACGTCGAGGGGTCCCCAGTTCATCCCGCGGTGCTGCGGATCGTTTTCGACAGCATGGCCAACCTTTAGCACGTGGAAACCATCCAGGATTGTCGCAAGCAGCGACAAGATCTCGACTGTCGGCCTACATGGACTATGGATACACAGACACTGCGTTTCAGGGTGATTCCTTGCACGGGGACGAATTACAACCGTATCCTACGACGCTGCGCGAACAGCAGCGCCAGCAGTCGATACAGCAACCCTTCGCCGCGTATGAATCGGAGATGGTATATAATCTCGGTCAGCAAGGTCCGACACAAAATCCGTACGAGGTCGTGCCACAGTACCCAGCACGGCAGTCTGCAGCGATTGACGCCCTGTCCAGCCAATTTGCCGTTCCACAGTACTTTCCAACTAATGAGCCGATGGCAACAGGGGTCCCTGCAGAGGTTTCGCCCTACCTGAACCCGCAACTCTCTTCATCTGCTTATAACCAGCCCGGTCCCATTGGGCGCTCGAGCGCAATGCAGCCCTTTCCCGCAACCATGGCCGAGTTTACCCCTGTGGGGACAACGGCGAGACGTTTGGAGCAACAAGAAACGTCTCAGCAGCAGCAACATCATTCACAGCAACAACAGCAGCAACAGCAGCAACAGCAGCAGCATGTAATTCCGGATTCGACAAATTTGAATGAAGAATATGGTCGGTTTCAACGAGCCTTGCGGTCGACGTTCGATCACATTCGCGCCGGTCGATTGGTAGAGGCTGGGCGATCACTCTTGGAAATTTCCGAGTGGCTTGTCACTAATGCGCGGGAACTCGGTATGTTTCTTGCCTAGCGTTTGTTTGGATTCCCACTCATCACCTTATCCACCATCCTTCAAGAATCGTACCTTTTCATCGATACATTGAATACAGTAATACGTGCACAATGAATACATCATTTGTTTTTGTTGATCGCACCCTTGGCACACGCCGATGATACCTTCGAGCTTGCGTAGCGGGCATATGAAGATCAATTTCATAATGAGGCATTTTAGTTGCTGACCTTTAACCAATCCTAGGCATTTTAAGCGACGATCCGATGTTCTATTCTGATCGATTACAATTATGGAATGACTTCAACATCTGCTGGTTGGCTGTCTGCCAAAGACAGAAAGATATGACACTGGAGATGTTGCGGGCCGGCCATCAGCCGTCGAACACCTCAATGCTCAGTAGCGATCGTTTGGACGAGATGGGCAGAGAACTGATTCAGCTATGCGATCAGATGGAGCAGCATGGACTGGTGGACTATCAGATGGGCATTTGGGAGGAGGAGATACTCTGTGGTAAGAACCCTACATTAGTCGAGAAATCCTTTCAAGAAATTTGGCACAGCTGTCTGATTCGGCGACTCGTCGCATAGTCCTCGGGGAATGTATCGATCTGATAGAAAGCCGACCAGATAATATGCGGGCACATGGAGTGAACGCCGCCGCAGCCACCACTTCGCGGTCCTGAGTGATGGTCTCCGTCGAGTTCGAGCTCACTTTCCCATATGGCGCAGTCATATTTCGTACTTCCGTGATTGTGCTCGCGTCCGGCCTAACGCAGGAACTAATTTAGTTCTCAAGGACGAATCCCACGAGTCCAAGCGCCCACTGTCTACGGTTCATACCACCGTGTCGGACTATGGAGTACCACCGTATGGTCCAGTCCTCACTTCTTAGCCCGCACTACGGAGCGCTTTTCTTGAATCATGTGTCCATGACTGCATGTCTCTCTTTCTTTACGAGTAGGGCGGAGAGTTAGGCCATTTCATTCCCCGGCTCCATTGTCCGCGGGGCATGAAGACCTGAAGGGCTTCCCCATCAAGGCTACTATAAGCTCTCCTGGGTAAGCATCTGCCATGAGAGGTCTTTCATCACCATTCTAATCTCTGGCGCTCTTGTTCCTGAGACATGAGAGTGAAACCGCATATTACCCTCTATCGTCTCATGTAGTATCATTGATGCCTCCTCAGGCAACATCCGATTTTGTATATATATATATCCCTCACGTGTGACTCTTTCATTCGCATTTCCGGTGCAACCAGTGGGCAGGTCTTTCTAAGCGTATTCAAGATATATCACTGCTTTCTAGCGATAGAAATTCTTGGAACTTTTTTCTGCGCGGCCTACTCTGACCACTTCAACGGAACAAAGCAGTAGGGGCGTGACCGGGTAACGCTCGGCCACACATCCAAATCCAATATAACTGCCTGTAGCGCCGTGTGACGCCAGTGCAAGACTAGCACGTCCCGGTTTCCGGGTTCGGAACCCGCAAGGCTATCACCACCATTATGATTTGTGAGAGAGCACAATGAGGGATCCGACTCCTTGGTCGCGGTCATCACCGGACTCCGATCGTCCACGATCCCCGACCTGCACCTGATAGACCAATCGCGGCGCTTCTTCTTCCTCTTTCAGGATTGCCAAGTAGCCTCACTTTGTCTAACAATGTCAGAGTGACCACTGGCCTGGCCCAGCTCCGCTGGAGGAAAGATGTGGGGGCGTATGACCATGACCAAGATATAACCAAAACATGACCGACATGTCCATGAAGACGTCGTCTCGATCATTATCTACACGAATCCGCACCAGGCAGCAATTTCATCTAAGCAATGCAATCTCTTAGACCTTAGGAGACGTGCAATTGCTCTCACAATCCATGACTCTGATCATGCTACCAAGAGTCTACCTCTATCTCAATTTTCGGAAAATCCATCGAACTCAAACTCAAGCCTTCTTGAAACCTAGAAATGCACTCGGAAGGAAGGAAAGGTCCGAAGAGGCTTCCGTTTCTCTAAATGAAAACACGACATGGTGATATCAATACACTCGATTCATCACATTCCGACTTCGGGGTACTATTCTATAGCTCGCGTCCCATCACCAAGGGTCGGGAGTTGCTCCCGGTTCCGCGGGACGCTAGGCTAGGCCCCAACACTAACCGTATCCACGTTACCAGGGGCTACCTGATCTGGATATATAGAAACTCGATGGATACTCTGTAGACTAGATCGGGACATGATAATCCCATGGATGGATGGATGGACGGATTGGCTGCAAATCCCATAGCTAGATGCACGCACTATATTTTATTTTTGACCTTCTTGAACAGGAATATGGTTAAATCACTGGCAGGTATAGACTAACATTGGATATATTTATATTCCCAGTGATATGTGTAGCTAACCCCTGTGGATATGTATATACCAAAAATTCCGCTTGTTGTGTGGTGGTGTTACATTCTACATAACGCGTAGTTGTAGGCTATATATATCCTAAATGTGTTGACATTCTTGGGGTCCTTGTTGGGTAATTTGCTTGGATAGAAGAGACCTGCCAGAAATAAGGTAGCTTTGTTGACAACACCTCCATCCACGAAGGATAAATGTGAGATCAAAAATGTCTTATTTCCTTGTTGTTTATTTCCACTGTAACAAAGGCATTCGTGGTTTGCTGGTATGCACCGCCTATATATACTCGCAATCGACAAAGCCACACGCGTGAGGAATATATGTATATTGGATAGTCATGGACTGTATATGTGCATGTCGTCGTGTCTGTGGTTCCTTCAAGGATGCCAGGATGTAAACTACAGAGGTCATTGATCATCGATGATCGTGAAATTCATGTCAGAGCCAAAGGGGCAGAAAGGACCGGCAAGCGTTCGACGCGGCAAGCAATAGACAAAAACAACAACGCCAGGTAGCAAGACTCGAATATACTCATGTGCAACGCTTAGATTTGGCCTGCTCAAACACAGTCGGTCAGTCCTCTCCTGTCCTTTCCTCAAACAACCCGTTAGAACATACTCAGTGTCATGCTCAAGCTGACATCGGTATTCTCCACCATCTCCGTGAACTCCTCGAAGCTGATCTTGCCGTCGCGGTCCTTATCCGCCTCCATGATCGTCTTATCCACGATCTGCTGCAGCTGCACGTCCTTCAGGTTATTGCCCACCATCATCTTCAGCACGATGAACAGCTCGCCGTTGGAGATGTAGCCGTCCCGGTCAATGTCGTAGACCTTGAACGCGAACCGGAGCTTCTCCTCTTTGTTGCCCTTGGAGCTGAAAGCCGACAGCCCCGACACGAACTCTTGGAAGTCGACATCGCCGCCGCCGTCTTCATCGAAGATCGCGATCATTCTGTGTATCGGTAAGCATATCGCCGACGTCTTTGTGTTCCTCCACGGTGCCACCATCTATCGCTTGTGTCACGTACCTCGTTGCGAGCGGGTTGGAGGACACTTGTGGGAGGGAAAGGAACTCGTCACGATCGATGGTGCCGGAGCTATCCTGCGACAGCTTAAGCCATATTATTCCCGTAATTCTTCACGTATTGATCGGACCTTGTCAAGTTTCATGAATCGCTTGCGGAGCCTGTCCACCTCATCTCTGTCGACTGTTGCTGATGATTAGATCGCGCTCTCAAAGGCAAAGAAGAAAAGCCACTGGTCAAGACTGACAGTTTGAAGCCGAGACAATGTTGTCTAATAATTGTGATGTCCCAACAGATGCTCTACGCCTGCGTGCATCATACATAGCGGCATTATTTGGTTCACTGGGTTGCTCCATGTTGGTTATTGGTCGTGTGTGGTTGAAGGGTATGCAAAAGCGAAGATAAAAAGCGTGGGGAAATTATGAATGAAATAAACTATGAATGTGCAGTAGAGGCTAGTGGAAAGTGCTTATTAACCTGGTTGTGATAATCAACAGAAAGACAGCCAGTGGCGGATAACTTTGACGAGTGATGGCGAGTAGGAAAGGCTATTCAGCTACCCACTGGTGCGGCTCCAGGATTCACGTAGCTCATAACATGCCAAGGGCATCACCCGTTCATCAATTTGATATCGGCCAGCCCCGCACTAGCCGGAAACGGAAAGGCAAGCGAACCCCTGAGGCCGTGCGCCGGCCTAAGACAGGCCACGTCTGGGTGACATTACAACGTCAACTCAACCGCCAGTGCCGATACTACGAGATTTCAGTCGTCAATATCTTCCACCATTCATCGATTTTCATCAAAAAAATACGTCTACGCGCTTTCGCATGATCAGGCCTATCGATACATACTAATTTTGGGACCACTATCCCATGGTCGTTGCCGCATTTGCGCCCCAAAGTTCGTATGACTAGATACGGGGGTATGGGGAGGACGCGCCCAAAAAAGCTCACCTCGAAGGCCTCAATCCCCATTGTTCGGGAACATGATATCGATATCATCGACGATGAGGTTCAGAATGCCCTACAACAGGTGGAAACTGGTGTCGAGAAGGCTGAGGAGTCGGTCAGTGTTTTTCCCCGACTAATTTTTAGCCATCCCTGCATGTATCACGTGATCATATCACAACCTCACCTCATAGTGAAAATTTTGTCAGCCGATATATTGGGCTCCAAACAGCGTTCGCTAACCCTGTTTTCAATAGGAATTCCATCTTCAAGCTGCTATTAGCGCGACTGCCCAAGGAAAAATAAACGAAGCTCACATTCCCACACCAGAGACCGTCCTCAGTAATCTTCGATATGACGAGCTCTATCCCCCCATCTTCTCGCAGCCGGCGACATACATCCGCTTTTCCTCGACTGTCGAGGACTGTTGCGGATGCCCGTATAACATGACCGAAGAGGACGATGTCTTCTTCAAGATCATGAACGAGAAGCGGGAGCCGTCGAACCGGATCACAGAGGATCAGTTCGAGGAGGTGATGTACTTCTTCGAGGAGACGGCACAGACAAAGCAACCATTTGCAGCTGTAGATAGCCCTCCTGTCCTGAGCCTCGCAGAGATGCAAGACTCGATGGATGCAACTGTAGAGGAGAGCGTCAAGCGTTTTGCAAAGGACATATATGAGCACTGGAAGTTGCGAAGGATTGCCACTGGGAACCGCCCACTCCTACCGAGTCTCAAGGTGAGCAGACCTCGGTCGCATGGCTACCCATTTGACACGACTGACCCTGAGCAGTTCGAAACTGGTCAAGATACCGATGATACAGACCCGTATGTCTGCTTTCGTAGGCGTGAAGTCCGTCAGATTCGGAAGACCCGCGGCAGAGATGCCCAAAGTGCCGATAAACTGCGCAGACTCAGAAAGGAGCTGGAAGATGCTCGACAGCTGGTTGCACTGGTGCGCCAGCGGGAGTTGGCAAGAAAGGAGATGCTCTCGATGGAGCGGCAGATCTTCCTGCAGCGTTCCGAGGTGAAGGAGATGAAGAGGAAACTCAACATCAAAGACGATGACGAGGATCTCATCAACCAGAAGGTAAGGTCAATACCAGCACGCCTTCCTCATGCGTTTGCTAATTTGCCGGAGCAGCCAAAGAAGAAGCCTGCGGAGACGCCAGCTGCACAACGGCCGACCGCTCCTCAGATCCGGATGCCACAGAAGCCCGGTACTCAGGCTGCGGACGACCTGCAACTGCTGGAAGACGTCCAGGCGGAGAAAGAAAACGAGATTCTGCGAGATATCAAGCAGAACATCGCGAAGCATATCAAGTGGAACGAGGGCTATGTGGATTTCACAAGAGCGCCTCTCTCACCTCCTCCGGAGAAAACCTTCCAGGCCGCATTCCGCCCGGCAATCACCACCCAGTTGCCAACTCCTCCTTCTTCAGATTCGTCCGACAATATGGACTCTGCCTTAGATACAGCCAATTCCCTCTCCTTCCGAGATAAGCTAGTCCCTCGCACATGGGAGATGAACGAGGACACCTGCAGAATACCGTCGTTCAGGAGGCGCATTGGGCGCGGCGGTCGGTTGATGATTGATCGTCGAAACATGGTGTCGCGGTGTAGAATCGAGATGGATCCGCTTAAGGCTGATCGATTCAAGTATGATCGGGAGGATTCGGACGATGAGTCAGAATTCGAATGTGATCCGTACGATGTCCAGATCATGCAACATCGTGCCATAATGGCCGCTAAAGCACGAGATCAAGCTGCTGCTGCCGCCCAAGCCCATGCGCAGGCTCAAGCAGCTCAAGCGCAAGCACAGGCTCAAGCGCAGAAACGGTTGCAGGCCGAACAAACCACAACCAATAACGGGCCCCCGAACATGGGGCAGACAATGGGATCGAACCCCGGGCCTGGTGCCGTCGCCTCCACGTCGTGAGATATGAGCTGGGCTTTATTTCTTCTCTCTTCGTCGTCGTGTCTTCTTCTTTTAATTTTCCCCCACTCATATCTTGCATTTGGCGGGCGTTCATCGATTCCTTGTTCCTCGCTGCTTCGTCTTTTCACCTCGATACTCCTCTGTACTTGTACTTTTACCGCCCCTCCGATACCTTGACCTCACGAGCCGCCACCTTTTTAACCTTGACTCCGAACCAACTATTTCGTCCAAGGGACGATAGTTGTGGGTAACCCCTGTTATCATGATATGACCCTGAAATTATGCGAATGTTAGTGTACATAGCCTGTTCTCTTTCCTCTTGACTTCTTTCAAAACCTATCAGCCGATAGACTCGTGTACGGATAGCGGAGCTTGATGTCAGCAACGAAGAAAATAACAAAAGAAGAGATGAATGATCCCTTCCATCAAACGTAAGACGTAGCGGCACGTGTTCCGCATATGTCAATTCCTGGGAGCTTTCGTTCTCCTTGAATCTCCACTGTCCCCGTTGGCGCCTCGTTTGAGACCAGACCCTCCGTTGGACTGAGCGGAGTTCGCGATAAACTCCTCAAGCATGTTGGCCAGACTTTGCAAGATATATTTCTCACCCAGGCGAACCTGAATAGCCATCTTCTGCCGTCGGTCGAATCGGTTCAGGGGCTGAGATGCTTCAGACTGAATGAGCCGCGAAAGAATCTCCTCATCCTGGGCAACACTTGTGGGGTATTGGCTGCCCACGAGCTGGATGGTCTTTAGCAGAATGGCAACTTCAGCGTGGCCAAACGACAGCTTGGGGGGTTTGCTCTTCGATTTTTGATGTTCTAATTGCTCTGGGGAGAGTGTGAGCGTCTTGAGCAACACGAGAAGCTCATCCGGAAGGATGTCTGTAAGCGAGTCTCCGGGCGAGGGTCTGGGAATGACATATCCGTCATCGAGGAGTTCCAAATCTTCCAGCAAGGCGAGCTAGGGCACAAGTCAATTATCGAGCCGCGGAAAATGTTGGGATCCGGAAAATGGAGGTGGTAGGTACCGGAGGATGACTTTCAATGTCCGCATTTTGAAGACCGGCAGACCGGCAGATTTGGTCAAGCGACAATTCGACCACATCGTAATGAGCGTAGTTGTCGGTTACATAGCCATAGCGCCTTAGAAGGTCGGCACGGGGTAATTCTCCATAGTCGTTGAAAATCTCCTCTCCAGCGTGAATAGGCTTGATGGCTTTCATGACCAAAGAATCCTCCTCTTGAAAGAGGCGTGCCTGCAGGAATTGTAACAATGAGCACTGATATGGAACACATGGAGGAAATGTGCTGGAAAGGGCACGCACATTATTTCGATCCGCATCCGCGTTGAGTATGTCTGCCAGTGGTACCATGCCTTTAGAAGACTGGTCCTGCTCATCATCGGTCACATAACCCTCTTCTTCGTCATTATCCTCATCATCTTCATCCTCGGCCTTTTCAATATCAAATGCATAAGCCATAATAAGGGACCCCATGATATGAGCTAAGCCCAGAAGGGCGTGGGAACCTGCTTCACCATCCCAGGAGGCCAGGCCCTCAACTGACGGAAAGAGAGAAGGATTGGCCCTCACAACCGGTGCAATCATCTGCATGATCGAGTCTTCAGCACCCTCTTTCCCTATCTTGCTAACGATTGCACTGCCTTGCAGCTCCTGAAGTTCAGAAGGGGACCAGAACATCAGGGTGTCAAAGCTCTTGGGAAGAACTTTGAAGTACGGCGCCCAAGCAGATTGCTCTCCTAAGAGATATTCGTACATCATCACCAGAATCAGAGACAGCCATGGGCCTAATTCCTCCAAATCCTGCGAGAGCAAATCCTTCAACTTCGAATTCTGAGCAGACAGAACGAGTCCGCGGGGGATGGAGAAAAGCTCTTCGCCGTCGAAGATATCGGACCGAGCCACTGATAATGTGAAGATAAGCGATCAGATAGTGGTACTTTGAAGGTGGTGCTTCTTTCTGGACGGGAAGAAAAACGATGAATCTAAAACCTTCGGATGGGTGGCCACATACCTACACCTCTCCCAGCAGATTTTGATCGTAGATCAGCGATATTGATTTTCGAATTGATTCTCACACCCGGCTTTCCAGCTAGCCATGTGATAAACTCATCTGACTGACGCTGGAAGCTGTCGGAATCAGGAAAGTGGGCTGTGGAAGACATTCTTTTACCGATGAAGAATGTTTGTGACCTGTGTGGGTGGAGTAGTATGAACGGACCCCCTCAAGATGAGATACACACAGACGATTTCGACAAGATAGAGGGGAGGTATCGAGGGATAGAGAGAGGAAGGAGTTCTCAGTAAGTCTCCAAGGCAATGGAGGGATATCCAAAAGCAATCCACCGTTGTGGGAGGGGAAATGCATGGAGTGGGTTCTCAGTGCCTAGTGAGCTGGTAGTTGAGTAGCATTTAGCTTACCTTTATTGTATACCCCCGTCGTCGGATAAACGCTACCACCGTGTCAAGCCGCCCGTCCGCCAATAGATAACGCCGCTGATTAAAAGGGGAAAAAAAAGGAAAAAGAATAGCGAATGAAAGCCGATATTACCCCTCTGCAGGCGAGCTCCCCGTAACGAATGAGCCGACTTCTAATGGATGTGATTATTATCTCTTGAAATTTGAATCTTAGGATTGTTCGATAATAAGTCTTTCCAGTCATGATTGCCATCGGACTCGAAGGCTCCGCCAACAAACTTGGGGTGGGCATTATGCTCCATCCCGAGGATGGCAGCACCCCGCGGGTCCTTGCTAATATTCGTCACACCTATGTCTCCCCTCCAGGTGAGGGGTTTCTTCCCAAAGATACTGCGCGGCACCACCGCTCTTGGGTAGTGAAGCTTGTAAAGAGAGCGCTCAGAGAAGCTCGTATCTCGGTGCGTGATGTGGACTGCATCTGCTTTACCAAGGGCCCTGGCATGGGTGCTCCGCTTCAGAGCGTCGCTGTGGCTGCCCGGACGCTGAGTTTATTATGGGGCAAAGAATTAGTCGGTGTGAACCATTGCGTTGGACGTATGTGTGACCATAGACGCTGTCCGCTGTCTCATGCTTGAGACCTGAACATTTGACGGCCTCCCGACATTCCTACTATAGAGCTAACAACTCGCTTAGATATTGAAATGGGCAGACTAATCACTGGCTCTACCAACCCTGTCGTTCTATACGTCTCAGGAGGTAACACACAGGTGATTGCCTACAGTTCGCAAAGGTACCGGATCTTCGGCGAAACCCTCGATATCGCCGTGGGCAACTGCCTGGACAGATTCGCCCGGACATTGCACATCTCCAATGATCCCGCACCAGGGTACAACATCGAGCAACTAGCGAAGAAGGGCAAAAAGCTGGTCGATTTGCCGTACACAGTGAAGGGCATGGACTGCTCCTTTTCGGGAATCCTCGCCGCCATTGACGGATTGGCTGCATCCTACGGCTTGAACGGCGAAGAGAAAGAAGAAGAGGGTGCAGGAGATGACTCCAAACCCACACGCGCAGACCTGTGCTTCTCGCTCCAGGAGACTGTGTTTTCCATGCTCGTTGAGATTACCGAGCGCGCCATGGCGCATGTGGGCTCAAAGGAAGTCCTCATAGTCGGCGGCGTCGGGTGCAATGAACGATTACAGGAGATGATGGGAATCATGGCTCGCGATCGCGGTGGTAGTGTCCATGCGACGGATGAGAGATTCTGTATTGACAATGGAATTATGATCGCGCAGGCAGGTTTGCTCGCGTACAAGACAGGTTTCCGCACTCCGTTGAAGGAGTCGACTTGTACGCAGCGGTTCCGAACAGACGACGTGTTTGTAAAATGGAGAGATTAATATGAGCACCAATCATGATGATGACACATACGGCCCGGTCTACGGACATAATCATTCGCCTGTATTACTGGGAGCGCCATTAGGGACCTCTGGGTATAGGAGAGTTTGATACTTCTATCTCGTATGGAACGTATGGAAAAGGCCTGCAGTTGCTCGATGCTAAGAAATAAAAATTGTACATCGCTTGGGAAATCTAGTCGATAAATACGGGAATGGGAAGATCGCCTGATAACCTGACGATGACCGCAACGCAAGCGTGCACCAGCCCATGGGGAACAGATAAGGTACAAAAATGTTGGAAGAAGCAGCGGCAATTGATGATGTTGGATATCGACGTTCATGTTGTAATAACCAAGAAATGAAATGTAAACAGCGCGGTCATAAATGAAATTGTTCATCATATGTGAGTGAATTGACTGTAGCCATGCGCCGTGAGGCTGCTCGTGAACTGATACGGCTCTTGCATATATGCATCTATCGGAGGAATTTACGACCATGAACAAGTCGACGAAGTGTCTTTATCGTCGAAACAGATCCTGTGAAGGAATCTGGGGGAGGCAAGTGGCGTAGCGAAGGGTCACTGGCACGGAGAGACTGCGGCCCCTGACCCAACCATTTCGTGCGCAAACGCCCGCGGTGTCCCTGGGATTGGCTCACGCATGGTATGAGACTGCGCAGCAAGCGCCTTTTCCTAGCGGTTACTAGCCCGTGATGTGGCTGGTCGGCTTGTACAGTATCGTTGTGACATACTGCGCAAGTTTGAGTCTATACTCTAACAAATGTGGTGGAATTTGGCGGAGATCTTACCTTTCGTTTGTATCTGGTAGTCACACTGGTCGCCAGAACGCCATTTTTGATGCTACTCGTTGCGAGATGATTGAGTACTGTATGATTAGGATAGTTGAGAACACTGCTGTCATCTTTCATCGGCGTCGTGCCGTTCAGGATCGATTTACCCAAGAAAAGTGGAAGACTTGGGGGCGTAGGAGTATCACCAATCACATTAGCGGCTTGCTGGTATTCTGGACTGTCTTCATCCTTGTCAAGATCGACAAGAAATTGGGGGATAATAGTCCGGAAGTCTCCCAAGGGAATCTCCTCTGGTTCTTCCTTGTCCGACTGATCTTCGACATCGGCTCCATTGCGGTCGTCCCCAATAA